TTCGTCCACCGCGGACAGCTGCCGATCTTCTTCCGTCATGTTAACTGGAGTTCCGACTTCCGACTTGTAGTCGGTTATGGTCGACTTCGGGAGGTCGGGTGAACTGTGTGCTCATCCGCCCAAAGGCTAAGTTTTTCCGTTAGGAGGTCGATTCTCGACTTTCAAATGCCTTTGCCGACTTGTTGTCGTATCCTTCCGACTTCTGTTCGGTTACTTCCGACCTTCATTTGAGGTCGGCTATCCGTATCGAAGTTCCGAGGTCGGCTGATTTCCGACTTCTTCGAATCGGATGAACTGTGTGTTCATCCGTCGAAAAGGCAAAGTTCTTCGGCTGGGAGGTCGATTTTCTACTTCTGATGGATTTTTCCGACCTGTTGTCGTATACTTCCGACCTCCATCTGGTGACTTCCGACTTCCGTCCGGGGTCGGTTATGCCTTCCGCTTGATGGTCGACCTAGACAACTTGTACCGTTACGCCCATTGTGGGGCCAGTCGGCACTTGTCGAGTCGACTTCTCTCTGACATGAACTCTGAGTCGGATCCGAGCTACTGTTGGCTTGTTTATCCGAATGACTTGCCTCTGGGCCGCCAAGTCCTGCGAGGTAGGAGTTTCCTTGGCATCTGGCCGGGTGACTGGCGTTTCATCATGCAATCGCGCTGGCTCACAACGCTAAAGGTCTTTGTGGCCCCGGTTGACAAGCCAGCTCTTTGGTTTAAACTTCATGCACGTGCAAATCCCTGAGGTCATCAGATCCGATTCTTCCATTTCGTTTTGTCGCGAACCTGAGACGCCTAGCCGCTTCTGTTGGGGGTAGAAAACTCACGTCCACGAGGAAATTTTTCTTTGCCGCTGACGAAGGCCGACTGGCCGGTACTGTTGCGGGCAGATGGTCATCGTCAACGGGGTTGGTTGAAGGGGTGCAGGTCGAGTATTCTAACTCGGTCTGCCTAGGATGTTCCATTGAAGACATGGGGAAGCAGGTCGCGGCGGAGTCGTTGGAGTGGCGGCCAAATCACCGTCGCTGTTCCTCTTCAGGGAATGGCAGCACGTTCGAGACGCGCGTAGTCGTGGTCACCGGTGAATCGGCTGGTTTACCCGATATCGTCCGGGGGAGACTGCGGTTGGACTCCGGGTACAGGGTCCTAGTTGAGTTCCTGTAGATCTGGGTTCAAACGGAGAATCCGGTTAAGTTGCCACATGACTACTACTAGCTTCCGTCCATTCTTCCTGGTCGACTTCTTGTGGTCGGTTGCCGTGTGCCTAGTCGATCTGTGTGGTCGACTAGGGTGGCTAATCATGATTCGACGGTCTGCATTGTTGCAAATCCGGCTTCCGCTTTGCCGAAACTGGTCTATGGAATCGGCTTGCACAACCGTCCTTTGTGGTCGGCTAATGCGGCAATATCCGTTATGTCTCCAAGTTATGGGCGAAGTACAAAGTCGACCTTTGTGGTCGGCTCAAGTACATGTAGTCAAATCCGAGTTTTCCTGCGCTGTTGGCGGCTCGGCCGAGGGATATCCGCTGTTTACACTGGTGAAGGCTGCTCGGTTACCCGGTCCCAAAGTCGGCCACGGGTGCCAGGCAAACATGGCGATGAACACGCAGCAACGTATTCAGCGCCATGTTAGCGTAATCCTCTCGGTCTATGCTCCGGAGTCGGTTGGCCGGGGTAATCTTCATAGCCGGTCGTGGTTAATGGTGTGATCTGTACCATGTAATTAGCGGCCGGTTCCATGTAACGCGGGTTGGGGCTTCTGTTGGCTCCGGTGGTCGCAGAACGTGGTTGACGATCTGCTATGTTAGCAGATGTGGTTCCGCGAGAAAAACAAATTATTTTTGGTCGGCTAGAAGGTTTATCTAGTCGGATTTTTAAGTTTTTAACCGTTAGAAATTATTTTTATTAATTAAGAAAATTTTCTGGTGGTCGAAAGACCGTTAGAAATCAAAAGTAAGAGAATTTCCGACCTGTTGTCGGTTAGCCTTTGTCTAACTGTCTAGACAGGTTCGTTGACCTAGCAGGTCGGTTCTCGACCAAAAGCAAAATTCCGAGTCGGTTTCTCCGTCAGAAATTACTTTTTAACCGTTAAAAAGTTAAATTTTACGGATAGAAATCGTTTTCTACCGTTAGAAGATGAAATGCCGACCTAGTTTCGGCTAAAATCGACCTATAACCGTGACTTTACCAGTGTCGGTGTCGGTGTCGGTTCCGGTCGGTTTCCTCCGTCCGAGGTCGGAAATCCGTCGCTTCCGAGTGAAAATCCGCGGTTAAAGTTGCGGGTCGGTGTTCAAACCGATGGTCCCCGTATTATTGGATTACTCCGTTCGCGCTGCAGACTCTCGTTCGAGTCTGATCCGTCAGTTGGGAGAAAACGTCCGTACTGTTGGGATGCTCTTCAATGTGGAAGAGACAAAGAAAACTGTGCTCACCAGCTGGGCAAGAATCACTTCAGTGATCCTCGTTATTCCTCAGCTGTAAGACGATGCGATCAATCCGATCAAAGTCAAGGCAGAGATTGCTTCAACAATCTATCTGACAGTGACTTTCAGGTTCCTCACGAGTTCTCCGCGATTCAAGCCTTCACCGTCTCCTCAAAGGTTCCGTAGGAAGGAAAACCAGAAAAGATGCTGCTACCATGTAACAGACAAGCACGAGGAGATCACGAGTGAGCTTTATTGTACCAATAAAGTGGGAACAATGCTGCGTAATAGCAGGAAAGCAAGAACAAAGCACTGATGGCTAAATCTAGCAAGTTGATGCCAGGAAGGTTCTTGAGCGTCTGTTGGCGTGAAAGAAGCAACTGGCGGCAAGCACGTGCTGTGTGCCATCAGCTGTGTGATGATGCGCAGACTGGACTCTATCCAACGCGAGCGTATGAACGCTGAGTCATACTGCGAGAGAGGAACGAGAGAGCAAGTGTGGCTCAGTGTATGCGCTGCGTATATCCGCTTCAGCGGATGAGTGCAGTGCAGCAGCACACGTACGTACAGCGAGAGAGGCGATAACGGCAAGCAATGGTGCAAGTACGTCCAGTGTGGATCGTACGCACCAGGCGCAGTCGTACGCCTCTGACAGCGGTCTGACGATTTACAGCAAGTAATAAAAAATTCCTATAATAAAAAGAATAATAAACAAGGTCTATAATATACGGGCATGAGAATGGCTGCCTGTAAATTAAATACCGAGCCATCGTGAGTGAAACTCGTCGCAAACTTTTGAATGGCATCAGGAATTTAATTCCGACAGGTAAGTATTTCATCCAAGGAACGGAAACTGGAAGTGAACTCTATTCCGTCGTCGACTTCTTCCATGTCAAGAATAATATAGTGTGAAAATTAACTTTTTGCAAAAATTTCAGAATTTTAAAATGTTATTGTTTCTGTTAGTGCACGTACTCTTACGTGTTGCACTTTTGCAAGATGTTTATGCACTGCTGCATGTTGCTGCATTAACCAAGGTTTCTGTAATTAACTCATTCTGAGCAACTCACTTTGCTTTAGTTACACTACATATCGCACAGGAGCATCAGCCAATACGTAAGAAAGAGAAACAGCGAAAAAATTAAAAAAATTAATTAATAAAAGTACGTATTAATTGAAATAGGTGAAGCGAAGAAAGGGAAAGAAGCGAAGAAGTGAAGGAAGTGAAGGAAGTGAAGAAAGTGACAAAAGTAATAAAATGAAAAAAGTGAAGAAAATGAAAAAAGTGAACAAAACGAAGAAAGGAAAGTGAAGTTTCGAATAGAACGATCAAAATGAAAGTAACTGCCTTTTTACCCCAGCCGCTCTATGGCGAGCGGCATTTTGATCGGTCAATTCGAAACTGCACTTTCTTCGCTTTCCTTTCTTTCATTTCCACACTTTTTTTTATTTTTTTCACTTTTTTCACTTTCTTCACTTCTTTCACTTTCTTCACTTTCTTCACTTTCTTCACATTCTTCACTTTCTTCGCTTTAACTATTCCAGTCAGCACGTACATTTTCAATTAGCAATTTTCTTAATTTTTTTACAAATTTTTCGCTGTTTCTCTTTCTTACGTATTGCTCCTGTGCGATACAGAACTAAAGCAAAGTGAGCTGCTCAGAATCAATTACAGAAACCTTTGTTAATGCAGCAACATGCAGCAGTGTACCAAATGCGCATAGGCGCTTCGGGGACTTACTTACACGGTTTTTCAGCGAGCACTTACATACAAAGTAGGCAAAACCGCGCCCTTTTGCACAGCTTGTGTGTAAGTCAGTCTGTGTTAAGCGGACTGCATGCGCAAACGGCTGCACATACTTACATGCCGGAGCACGTGCGTTCAGTTCAAACTGAGAACGTAAATAGTTCCCCGTGGTTCTAGAATCATATTAGCAACTGTCAAATTTACCACGTATTGGGATTCAGATGAGTCAGATTGTATCTAGGTCAAAACGCTCGAGTGCGCTCCAACTCACGCACTGATTTGTGAGTCAGACAGATTCACTGATAACGCTGCGCGCATTGGTCAGATGGAGAATCGGTTGCTGAATTATAAAACCGAGCTGTTGAGCTCGGTTTTATAATTCGTGGCCACATTCACGACCGCACATCAACTCGTTAAAGTTATCCTGAGCTGCTTATAAATGTTCGCGATGATTCCGTGCTGCATTAAACTGTATGAAATTACGCTGTAGTCCGTAATTAAGTGTTGAGAGAATATGGTTTAATTAACTTAATTATTAATTACTAATTAAGCAAAACTTTGATGAACAGTTATAACTAGAATCATTTACGCCTTATTAGGACATTTAGCACCTAATTAATTAGCAAATTTTGCACCTAATTAGTAATTTTGCACCTGAATTTGTAGCACCTGATTAGCAAATTTTGCCCACATGAAGAAAAACTTAATTATTGCATGTCATTAAGCTTAAATTATTTTTCTCATTAAGTTTGCACTTGTTGTGTTGCGTTGATCATGGCAGTAAACGGCAAATAAAGGCTGATTTATTGCAGAATTCACGGTGCTCTCAGATATGCTATTTATTTCCACTCGTGTATCCGTTATCACTGGTGGGAACATATTTCAGTTTTTTTCTCTTAGTCCTAGAAGAAAGATGAGTAACAGATACGTGCGCAGCAGTCGTGTCGCAGATACAAGCGGGCTGCTGATATTTGACAGTTGCTATTTTGATTTCTAGGTTCTAGAATATCATATTTTGATTTTTTTTAGTTGTTAAATTTGAATCGATCTTTCTATCTGTGTAGTCCAGAACTGTGAACTTCTGACATTGACCTATCTGTGTGACTAAGTGTAACTCGGTTAAGTTCAGTTAATCCTGAAGGTAATAATGGTTGTCAAACCCAATCTTCTCCCTCGTCCCCTTATGCTTAGTCGCGCTTCCAGCATGGCGGATCTTTCCCGCTCCTCCAGCTTCAGCGTGCTGGCACCGGAGGAAGGCATGCAGCAAGAATTGCTGGAAGGTCTCAAGAAAATCGAGACAGGTTAGATGTGCGGAAGATTTCGACTGCAGTTTTTGGTTTTTTGTTTATTTTATTAGCACTAGTATAAACTGCAACAATTGCATTGCAGCGCTTGGCAGTGTTTTGACCATCCAAAATGCTCGCAGTTCGGCCGAAACTGCCGTTAAATCAGTAAACGGTGAGTCTGCATACTACATACTTCAACACTGCTGACTACAAATAATTAATATATCGCAGACGGAGTTCTTCTTCCGGCAAATTTCTTTGCTGGGAATCCAGGTGAAAGTGCTGGCTACCCAGCAGGTCCGGACAGTGGAGAACCATTAAACGGTGAGAATACTGCTTTAACTGAAATTGCAAAACACTGTGTGTGAGGTTTTACATTTCAGAACTGGACGAGCATGTTGACGTGCCTGAAAGAGCTGGCAACCCAGCTGGTGCTGGCTTCCCAGCAGGTGCTGGCTACCCAGCAGGAAACGCTCGCATTGGTGGCAACGAACAGAGTAAGAAAACAAATAAAGGCGTTCTAAAATTAAATTTTTATATTTTTTTGACACATTTAGATAACAACATGCAACGTGCTGGGCTGCCAGCTGGGTACGGTGGAAATGCACCGCGCGTAGGAGGATTTCGTCGTCGCCCTACTCGTCGGGATGGGGAGCGCTCGCGCGGTTTCCAGGAATTCCTGCAGATGAAAAACGCGGAGCAGCGTCGTATCCGCCAAGCGCGCGCTATTGAAGACGACGCTGCGCGCCGTGCTCGTGACGAAGAACGTGCTGCTCGAGATCTGCGCCGTCGACAGGAAGATATCAACTTGCAGCAGACTCGTGCCGCCGAGGATGGATGCCCGCTGGCAGCGCGAGGACAATCGCGTGGAAACGGAGCGCGCACGCGAGGATCTGCGCAAAGCGGAAGAATGGGACGAAGCGGTGCGCACTATGCGCAACCAGAAGTAGCGACCGCAGGGAAGCCTGCGCCGTCGGGTAGCCGACGCTTCGTTTTTGCATTTGCCTTGATGTTTCACAGAAATTTGATGGAGGTTGTTTGATTCTTTCGTTTTTGATATCTATTTGCTCTTCGCTTTTGTACAGAATTACAAAAAATGAATTTGTTAAATTGTTTTGTTACGAAAGAATAGTAAACTGGTTCTGATGGCATCTACCAAAGCACAATAAACGATTCACTGCAGAATGAACGTAACTGCCAGCCCAGTTTTATAGCGAAAGAGCGCAGTTTTATTCACACCTGTCGAAAACTTCTTAAATTTTTGCAGTGCAAACCGAACTAAAATAAAATTTTGTTGAGTCTGTCTCGGACGGGTAGCCGTCTGCATGTTTCCCTGGGTAGCCAGGATGCAGTTTCGTGACAGAAAAGTTGTTATAAAAAAGCGAAAGAAATTTAAGAAGAGCGCGGTGCGTTCTATGGTTTATGCTGCCGCTCTGTATTTTGCGGATGAGCTAGACAGGGAACTAGAAAAGTTTTATGTACGCCATGAACTGGACTTGAAAACTATGCCGCGCGATCGTTTGCAGCACTTTTTCCGGGTAAAATCCTATGAGGATTTTCAGCGCCTGTGTCAGTGTCTTCGAATGCCGGACACAATAAGCTGCGATAATCGCTGCCAAGTATCTGGAGAATTTGCACTTGCTGTTGTTCTGCGTCGCCTTGCCTATCCAAATCGCTGGCGTGACTGTGCTGATCTACTTGGAAGGGAAGCAACGCAGCTATCAAGAATATTTAATGCGACAATAAATTTCCTTTATGAAAGACACGGCCATTTGTTGCGATCTCTTGGACAGCCTTGGCTGGGCGCTGGTAACATCGCGGCATATGCAGCAGCTGTTAATCGAGCGTCAGGCGGAAGATATGGTAATCATTTTTTGCTAACGGTAAGCAGGGATGCCTGCTCGTCTGGCTAGCCAGATTTTCTGTTATTATCTAGATAATTGTTGGGCATTTGTGGACGGAACTGCGCGTGCCATTTGTCGCCCTGGAAGATTACAGAGAGAGTATTATTCTGGACATTACCGCGGACACGTTATCAAATTTCAGAGTTTGGTTGCACCGGATGGTTTAATTGTAAATATGTATGGCCCTTGCGAGGGACGGCGGCACGATATGTACATGCTCGGAGCATCGAAATTACGACAACGATTACGTCTGCGGAATCTGTTTTGGGGAAAAGATTACTGTATTTTTGGGGACAAAGGGTACAGCATAAGTGCATAAGTTCAGAGCCCATACAAAGGCGGCGACATTAGCGAAGCGGAGGTTGCCTTTAACCTCGCTATGTCAAGATGCCGGTTGATCGTGGAATTAGGTTTCCAACGAATATGCACACAGTTTGCATTTGGTAATTACCGTGAAAATCAAAAACTGTTTTGGCAGCAATCTGCAAAAGCATATTTGGTCTCAGCAATTCTGGCAAACTGTTTGACTTGCATGTACGGCTTTGAGCTTGTGTTTCGAAAATTTGGCCTTCAGCCCCCGTCTTTAGAAACATACTTGCGCTTTTAAATTTATTAAAAGATGTAGGCTTCCCTACAGACAACTGGGTAGCCAGTGTTAGATCGTATAATGCAGGTAGAAGCACTGCAAAGTAATTAATTCTTAGTGACAAACTTTTCCATCATATCTAGCATTCTTTCTTGCTGTTTATTGCGGCCCTCAATTTCGAGTTTCTGCAGTTGAAACTGTTGATCTCGACTTTCCTTGCGTTCAGTTCGGTCTTCTTCTTCTTTCATGATGCGCTCCTGGCGGTCTCTTTCTTTGATCTCCGCCTCCTGCTGCGCCAATTTCCACTGGAGTGCGCGGTCTTCCTGTCGCGATTCCCGTTCAGCTTCCCTGTCCTTGATGCGCTCTTCACGTTCAAACCGACGCTCTTCAGAGTCACCATGCTCCATCCGAGCCACAGTTTTATTCAAGCTTGTAAATGTCTGAACGATTTGTTGCCGACTGGTCACTATTCGCTCTTGACGCAACTTTTCAGTTATTTGTTTTCGATGGATTTTTCTTGCTGCTGCAGCTTCGTCTGGCTTGGACAGTTTTTTCGCCACGAGGGTGTTGTTTGCAACTTTCTTAGTGACATCGTTGCGAGCAGTAGAGGCCTCGTCCTCACTCGCAGGAGATGCAGGTTCTGATACGCTTGACCGTCCTCCGGGTAGCCGGGTGTCGCGGGTAGCCGCTGTTTGCTTTTCCGTAATTGGTGCCACTCCATCTTCTGCAACAGGTGTTTCTCCTCTCGCTCCGCTATGGGGTACCCCATTCGTACGGCTAGCCGTAACAACCGCGACTGTGCCATCTTCCTTGAAATCTGCTAACTCATCATCTACAGAATATGAAGACAATTCATATTTTTTTGTTTTTTATTATCTTTTAAACAAGAACCAATTGTTAGCAAATCTTCGGTTTGCTTTCTGCATACAACAGGACCGTAGAATAAATTAACAGTTTTTTGAATGAGAAAAGATAATTAAGCGTATTTGTACCGTCAAAACGAAGATTCCCGGCCAATTCATCTGGATGATCTGTCAGTCCCATATCAAACTCCAGATCTTCCCGAGCCTGATCTTCGTCGGCACCGTCCCACAACACTTTAGTTGTTCCACTTTTCATACCCAACTGAGTAGCGCGGATTCGTGCTTGAAGGCCGGCTTCCCTGGCTGCTTTTTCGGGATCCCGAGTAGAAAGTGGTACACATTCAGAATACTCTTTTATCTGCTCCATAAGTTTATCCCATTCTTCCCATTCCTCTTCAGTGCCAGTGATTCGCACATGACGTTCGTTGAATTTTGTTGAATTCCGACGAACCAAGGCCTTAAGGCTTTGAATTTCTTTGAACAGAACGGGACTCGCATCTGCCACTAACTCGCCCGCGTCGTTTTTAATTCGCTCGCGACTGAGCAGCACAACCTCGCACCAAGCGTCATGGCTATCTTTCACGCTATGGCTGTATGGATTAACCTCCACAACATTTCGTAGCTTCTTAAGCGTATCTTCGTTTGGTGGCTGCGGCCTGCGGGATGGCTTGTCTTTACTCTGGTCGTCATCAGCATTAGGCCGTTTCTTCCCTTTAGGCTTCCGATACGCATTGTTTACGGGGTACTGCTTAGCCACTGTGGAACGGATGGCCGCTTGGAAATTACTGGTAGTCTTGTTGGCTTCAGTATCAGCTGGCTTCCCAGCGGAGAGCAGGGAACCCTGCGCAGGTAAATCTGCTGCAGCTGACAGAATAAAGACGGAAGGTATTATGCCACTGCTCGGGCCTGCAGGTTCGATCAGATCCTGTCCGCTCATGGCCGGTTTCAACAACAGTGATCCCAAACAACAAAAACAAATAAATGCATTAGATCCTAATTCAGAATCAATTAGCAGATTTCAAAATGAATGCCAAAAATTTTTCTATAAAACGGAAAACTTATAAGTGTTTGAACTGTTCAAGTACTGCAGCCGTACCACATGGTTTCGAATTTTTTTATTGGTGGTGGGCAGCCTCGATCTAAGTCAAAATGATCACCCACGAATCAAAATCGCGGAAACGCGAAGTTTGTAAGTACCTGGGCGTCGCTTAGACCCGTTACAAGGTACGCCCATGTTGGTAACGGTTTTCGTCGACGCCCACCGACAGACATCGAGCAAAAAGCGACTTACATCGAAGCCCAGCCAATTGGGACTTGGTACGCCTTTTTCTCGCTTCGGTGTAAGTCGCTGATGCTCGATGTAACAACACTCAGAAGATCCAGAAAAATCTGAGGAAGACGACGACGAAGAATTCGACCCGTCAGTCCGACATTGCCGGCCTGATGAAACCCGGAAAAACGACTCGGTCAATGAATCATCAGAAGACGAAGAACCGACCTTCGATGATTGACTAACAAAAGCGCTTCGATCTATCGTCCGTACGGAAATCGGAACAAACCGGACAGGAACAACCTGCAGCCCCGGGGACGGAGGCATGCAGATCTGACGAAGGAAACCATTTGCGATCGACCACAACCGTCGACCAACCACCGCCAACCGAACAACTGCCCTCGGCCAACTTGACCGAGGGAGCAACCGCACCCACAGAAGGTTCGGATTGCTAAATCCAAGTAGCCGAGAAGACAGTCTACCATCTGAAGTTGGAGGAAACCATAAGTTTCAACCCGCGAGACCGACAGGTTGTGTTCATTGACAGTGAACGGGTATCGCTTCCAGCTTATTCGACGTGTTTCATTAAGGTACGGATTGGGAAGCCAATGGACCTTCGTGAATCTAAGGCGGAAAATACATCCTATCCGACCTATTGAGATGAGGATCGACATCCGACCCTCGACGGACACGGCATGGTTAATATCCAGAACACAACGCATGAACCAAAGATTCTTTAAAAAGGCGTAAGACCTGGCCACATGCACTAAAAAGGACGTTTACGAACCGGACATCGACAACGAACAAGTTGTTTGGGAAATCCCAATGAGAATCGCCAAGACATGGCCGGTTCAACCGAAGCCCAAAGAGCTCTCGACGTTGACCATCTTCGAGTCCACAGGAGTAAAGGCGCAACGGAAAGTTAAGATCCTGCCTCGAATGATAACCGAAATCAATGTCGCCCTAGATGTACCTATCAATGTCGTCCTAGAAATACCTCCTACGCAAGAGCTCATATACCTAGGCGAATCGCACACCACACCTTACGGAGTAGATATGATGGATGGTGCAACGAAGCACGACGGAAAGACATTTACCGTCATGATGGCTAACCACACCAACAAGGCTGTCACCTTACGGAAAGGTGCACCGATGGGCCGAGTCGAACCGTTCAGTATGATGACGGACGGTCAGAAGATGGTAGAAGCCCAAACTAACTTAACTCAGGTAGAGAAAGAAGACGCGGAATCCCAGGAGGATCGACGAAGAATTATCGACTCCATGAATTTCGGTAAAACCTTTACCGACTAGCAACTGGCCATACTGAAGGCTGTTTGGACCCGGTCAACCGGCCCAAAAAAAGGACGGAAGTCAAAACGACCTGGGAACCGACCCCACAAAAGGAAAGGTAACCCGAATACCATCGTAGGCGGCCGACGCAAACGTCGAAAACCTACCGGAAAAGCCGGGTATCTCCGACCAACCAGAGCCAAAGGTTAAGAGTACGCCTCCGCGGCCCGAATGCTACGTGAGAGCAGTACTACTGACTCAGCGACGACACCGATCTGACCGCCGAGGATACCGGCAGGACGATTAACGAGAAGACCTGGGCAGGTAGGAAAAATCTGTGACCGAATGGTATCGCTCGACTTCGGACTCTGCTGGACTTTGCGCGGGGCAAATTCATCCGGGCGGAGGATCCGACCCGCGGAACGGCCCGACGGACATTAGGATTCTAGGTGACATTGCAAACAACCGGGCGACGACTTCGATCCGTCCGACATGGCATCGCGGGCCGGTTTCGGATACCATCATACCAGCCCGGGTGGCACCTCCCAGCTCTCCCGGTGAAGAGCTGCCCAACCCGGTCCAACCGGTGCCTGGTGGAATTTTTCGGACAGCGGGTTGGCTCGAAATATCAGCTGGCAATTCTGGTGCATCTTCCCGACATGACGTTGCAAAAACCCGTCAATACGGGAAAACAGTTTGCCTTGACCGGATTACAGCTCGGCCCGGCACAGCGGCCAGCTGTTGGGGAACAGTGATCGGCCGCGGTTGCGGAACAACCCGACGATGTAGCCCGCCGACCCGAACGGATAGTGCGGCAACCGGAAAACGTACCACGCCGACCAACACAGACGCTGCGGCAACCACTTCCAGTGCAAATGCGGGATCGGACACAGGATCAACAAGATCGATCGGAAGGCTGTCGCAACCGGATAACGACAGTCATAGCCACAACGACCGATATCAAGGAAGACCGTCGCCGCCGATATAGGTGGGCCCGACCTTGGCGAGACGTAGAGAATCGCAGTCGGTGGGAGTGACCAAAGTGCGATCGCGCCGCCGACACAACCTGTTTAGCCATAAACGGGAGGTGAGAAGAGAGAAGAGGTGCTAAAATTAGCACACCGGATACAGCAGAAAGCGTGTCGGGGGACCATGACCGCGGGCACGCCAGGCGTGCTGTTTCTCGTAACAATTGGTGGGGCGACCGAGCCGACGCCGACGTAGAGCACCGGCTCGGGCAGAAGGATGAGCGAAGCGACCGGGCCGGCACTGACCGGAATCGACAAAACATCATCCAATCGCAGATGGTCGGGCGAGCGCTTCTGCTGGCTACCCGTCGGACACGGATTTTTCTATGTTCGATAGTGACATGCTGAAAGCGGAAGGATGGGCAACCCACTTCGCCAGTTGCCCTGACAACAAAAAGGAATCGATACCGACGAGGATGCTGAATTCATGTTCAAGGTGAGTGGGGCTCTTACCGGTAATGCGGCGGACTGGGACCAGGAATCAACGGCGGCCGAACAGGAGGAAGGCTGGCCGTTGAAGCTTGGTTGGCTAAGCTCATGGCAAGATTCGGCGGTCGGAAGAAGGACATGAACTCCTTGGCGGACACCACAGACCTTTCGTTGAATGCACTTCATGGCAAACATACACTCAGTGCAAACCGTCCGCTCGCGACCAGATCCATGCACAATCTTCTGTCCCAGTTGTAAATGAACCCTCCCGAGAATGCGCTTACGAATTCCAGCGAGAAAAGTCATGGTCGGCTTATGGCAATAGCTCAAATCTAGTAGAAAATGTAGTTCTAGATGGCCGTGCCCTGGCCATTACTGTGGAAAATTAGCTGCGAGCATAGTGCGGCAAAATAGCAAAAGGCTGTTTGAACGCAGTGTGCGGCAAAATAGCAAATGGCTATTTTGCCTACCATACTACGGCAAAATAGCTAAAGGCTATTTTAACGTAGTGTGCGGCAAAATAGCAAAAGGCTATTTTGACACACTGTAGAAAACTGCGGCAAAATAGCCTTAGCCTTGCTTGTTATTGCTGACATATTACTGTAGCGGCGTTATCAAGTTAGACCACAGAGTTGGTTTACCGGAAAAATGCACACTGATATACCCACGCTGCACGGGCAAATTTCACGGCTTAAATCGCATTTTACGTTTACCGATTTGCAGACAGCAAATTTTCACTTAATTCAGGCTATTTCTCCACCAAAATTTTTTTATCCTAAAAACTCGAAAATCGTTCTGCGCTCAACCTGCAAACATGTTCTCCATCAGTCCCAATGTCAAACAAAAAGCGTCCCCCCCGCCGCAGGGGCACCCCAAAAACCACAACAAACCAACATGGCAAATCATCGCTCTAATTTGTATGCATTACTTTTATCCTTCTGTAATACAGTTTTTAACTGATTTTTAATTTTTAGATATTATTAATTAGTTATAAAATGTTTATTTACTCCGAAATATGAATGTTGCCCAAAAAAACTCCGAATTTCTGCGCTGGTGAAGTATCGTGAGTTTTGCCGTGCAGCGTGGTATATCAGTGTGCATTTTTCCGGCAAACCAACTCTGTGGTCTAACTTGAAAACGCCGCTACAGTATATGTATTTAGTGTATAACGGGAATAGTTTCAAAGCACCATTACGACTTGACTGTCGCTTAAATCAAAAACTCGAGCACAGAGAGCAAAGCTTTTCTTTTCACGAAAATAAGGTACTCGTAAAAGCTGAAGCATTCTGAATCAACAATCAATCGGCCACGAAGCGAGATAATGGGAAATAGGTGATAGAACCGGGCTGTGTATTCTGTAAAGGATGTCTATTCTGACTGTAGATAGAGGGGTTCCTGTTGGTAAACGGAAGATCTCCCGCTCGTGAACAACTAATTCTCCTTACTCCAAAAACTAATTTTCCATGCAGGCTTCAGTTAAATCGGAACCAAGAGCGCATGCAATATTGAAACGCCACTAGAAACAGTGGCTAATTTTTGGTTTCTCTGTTTTCACAGAGTGTGCGTTTTGTGGCAGCAACTCCTGAGCAGCCGTCGCGCAACCGAGCACATCAGAATCTGCTTGGAAACATATACTACACCACCAAAATCCGACAACGTCAATTGCTTCAAAGGAGCATTCCTGTTGAGTAGTGCAATCAGCTTTACAACAAAAAGCCTGGCTGTTCTGAAAGATGTAGCCAACATATACTATTTGCCAAATTTGTTGGAAGCCATGCAGATCAAATTGCCAATGTTAATTCTTAAAGATTACAATATTCCCAGAGCCGGTATATTCGGTTATGGTAGTGGTTTTTCAAAACCTGCGGACGATAACTTCTACGCGAATCATGGCGCAACAAGATGGTTGAAATTCTATCGAAACAGCAGCCAACGCATCGCGCTACACAACTGGAAACTGAGCAACAACTTTGGCCACGCTCTGCACTTAATATTTTTTAATCCCCGGTTAACCAACCTCAAGCTTCTGCCAGACCATGAGATGAAGTG